TTGGCCTTTCCACTACTGCCTGCAGGGATAGACCCTCCTGATGGTCCGTCAGGTCGGCAAGTCACCTTTTTGGGTGCCTTGCCTTTCCCCCTTACGGCTCACCACTTGCCAGGCAGCAGAGAAAAGGTCGTCAGTTCGTATTGGCTCCGCAGTTTTGTCACTCGCGGGCTCTTGTTCTTTTTTCCCCTCCAGCTCCTTGGAACTGGTTTTGGAAACGTTCAGCGAGGTAGTTGTCCCTTTGATGGGGGCACCTGCGCTGGACGGTACTGTCCGTGGAACCGTCGGTTTAGTGACGGTTCCCCTTGTTCATTGGCGTCTCTGGTAAGCACCTCTGACACCTCTCCCTCTTTCTTATTGGGCCTTAAATTTTCCATAATATTTTGTTCTTTAAAATTCATCCCCCGGCTTCCCACCCTCCATGGAGCCCGCACCTTTGGGAACGCCCTATTTCAGGCGTTAGGATTACCGGGGAGAATATAGGGACGCGAAGTTGGCTCACAGCGCGACATCGGGAGCTCGATCCAGCTGGTAGGTGGGGCTGACAAGGCCCATCCCCACCACCCGAATAAACTGTCACTTGCTCCGTCAGCATGGCCTTTACCACCACCCAGCCCCCTTTTCAAGAAAACTAGGCAGCCCCCACATCCCTCGCCTGCGACCCTCTGACGGGGCGCTTGGCCATTTCCCTATCTGTGGCTAGCAGATAGGGCCACCGTTTAGCCTGGAAATCCGGACCAAAGAGGGCGTGTTGCCTCTCGCCACTATATACCCCAGCGACGATCGGCTCAACCCTCCAGGACTCCTTCATCCCCGCGTACGGCGCTCGACTGCGCAGGTCCTAGCGCAGGTGGGTGTGTTAGTCCACCGGATACACCCACTCTCTCCGGCGGAACCGTCCCCTCCTCCTTTCTCATCCGGGCTTGGGACCGGCAATGGCGGAGTTATGTAGCTACGATACACAATATGTAGAATAAATAAATATAGATGTCTATGTCTATGTATAGATGTCAGAGCATCCACCTATTTATTTATTTTATAGGATAAGGGTATTTCACATGACACTCGTATCTAGTTGTTGTACACTTTTTTCAAGTTTGGAGGTATAGATGACGAAAAGGTGTGTCGTAATCTCTCGAGTTCTGCTCACTCGAGTTGAATTCATCAATTGAGCTCTTCGTTGAATTTGGTTACGTTTAAATACGAAAAAATACCATGAAATATAATTAATTTATCCACCTAGTATAGTGATTACATTTTCATTTCATTTACTATAAACAGTTATTAAAAAGTGTTGTGTTCGTGGCATAAAATTTTGATTTTGCAAGTTGCCAAACTGGGTTTGTAGAATTTAGGGTTCCCTCAAATGGTAAAGGCTGGCCTGCTGCGTTATGGGAGACTGGATGATAACCACACGTCGTGTGCTCTCAGCATCGAAGAGGGGTAACAGGATCTCCGTACAGAATGCTGCAGTAGCGAAGTACTAAATAAGGAGGTTATTTCACTTAACATAATAAAAAATATTTCCATATTTGAAATTAAAAAAAAAAAACGAGTTTCAACGTGAATATAAGCATTCGGTGTTAAATTAAAATTGTAATACAATTTACGCTTCGTAGCTTTTATGACATTTAATTTCCTGCGTTCGAATTTTGCAGATTTTATTACTGATTCGCTTAATAACTGTAACAGATATCAAAATCAACTCCGCGTACTCTTTGCGTAGTGGCGGTGCGGTGTAAGAATATCTTTCACCTCATAAGTGCTATGGGTGTACAAGTTTGCGTGCGAGAAGGTTTTATTTTTTTTATTTTATTTAACAAGTACACTTTCAATACACATATATAACAATCACGAATACATACACATTTCTATACTCTCTGATATGTATATCAATTACAAGTGTACATAACATTCACAGATTGAGTCATGCAATTTAGGGTTAATTTGGAGTACTAAATATAAAAAAAAAACAGGTTTAATTTTTAAAAGGGAATGTGGTGGATATTATACTCTCTTCAGGAGTATGTATATTTTTAGTTAAAGTATAAGATATATTATATTGCAGATGTAATTTGTATCAGAAACTAGATGATAAATGATTTGTAATTTTAATTTTGTATGCAATATAAGAGTCATTAAATATGTCAATGCCAGGTATGGTTTTAAAATATTCGTTATATTTTCCACATATACGCACGATAGGAGCGTGACTCCCGAGATGAGTTTTCGCGAAAGGAATATGAAATGTTTTTTGGATGCGACAACGAGGATATTTACGCGGAACAGCAAATGAGATGCGGTTGAGGAGTTCACTGCACTTAACTTTATTATGTACTATTTTATGTAGAAAACACAAATCTAGAATAACACGTCTATTTCGGAGAGACATCATTTTAAACTTATCGAGTCGCTGATAGTAAGGCTGCCTATGTGAGATACCACTGGCATGAAAGGCAAGATGTCGAGTAAAGGCTCGCTGTATACTTTCAACGCGTTGGGAGTGCACACTAGAAGATGGATTCCATATGACACTAGCGAATTCAAGGACACTTCTTACAAAAGCATTATATAAAATAATTTTAGTTCCAGATGAAAATCCCTTTGTATTGCGCTTAATAAATCCTAGGAACTTCGCGGCTTTCTTAACAATAGTATTTATATGAGATTTAAAGGTTAGCTTTCTGTCAATAGTTACTCCTAGGTCTTTAATCTCCGGTATCTCTTGCAAAACTACATTACCAATTGAATAACTAGAGACAAGTGGTTTTACTTTTCTGGTGTATTTTACATGGAAGCATTTGTTAGCATTAAGAGTCATACTATTGACGTCACACCAATGGGATATTCTATTCAGATCTTCCTGTATAAGATTTATATCGTCCACTGATTTTATTGGTTTATAAATTTTTAAATCATCAGCAAATAACGAGCAACGACAATTTTTGATTACAGTAGTGATGTCGTTAATATAAGCCAAGAATAATAGAGGGCCCAGATGCGAACCTTGAGCCACCCCAGATTGAGCTTGATACTGTTTGGATTCAAATCCATTAACAACTACAATTTGAGATCTCTTCTCCAAATAAGATCTAAACCATCCAATCAAGGAAGGACCAATACCATACAGAGAAAGTTTGTTAACGAGTTGCTTGTGGTCAACCTTGTCGAATGCACTACAAAAATCTGTGTATATGGCGTCAATTTCTTGGCCTTTGTCCACCTCTTTTAAAAGATCAGAAGTAAAATTACACAAATTAGTTTGAACAGACAATCCACTTCTGAATCCATGCTGCGAGCTGGTAAGAAAATTATCAAGGTGCTTGGCAAGAACTGGGTGCACAAGACTTGCAAATAGTTTGGAAAAGCAAGAAAGAATAGATATAGGGCGATAATTTTTTATATCCATGCGATCACCCTTTTTAAAAACTGGGACTATTCAGGCCTTTTTCCATTCTTCAGGGAAGATACCATCTTCTAGGGAACGATTAAAAACAAGGGTCAATGGAAAAGCGATTTTTGGGCCACAACGTTTAACAAAAATGAGAGGGATACTATCTGAACCCGCACCCTTTTCAGTATCTAATGTTTTAATTTTTTTTTAAGACATCTGTTTCATTAATCTTCAATTTACTCAAATGTGTAATATTGCTGTTTTGCATAAAGTATGCTGCTTTGTTGTTAGTTGTTTTGGTGTAAACGGATGCAAAATGGTTTGCAAATAAATTGGCTATTTCCGTTCCAGAGTTTGCCACCTTGTTATGCAATTTCATGGACGCGGGTAGAGTTGACTCACCTTTCTTTTTTATGTTTAATATATTTCCAAAGGTGTTTTGGGTTTTTCGAAATATCAGATTCTGCATTGTGTTTAAAGTTATTAAAACATGAAACAAAGAGTTTGTGACACCGACTGCGAAGTATTTGAAATTCTAAGTGATCTCTGGGGTTATTATATTTGCGATATTTTTTGTGGAGTTTTTCTTTCTCTGACAATAACTTAACCAAGCTATGTTTGAACCAATTAGGATACTTTGCTGAAATAATCTTACGTTTAGGTACAGATAAATCGATGACTTCAAAGAGACGATTATAAAATACTTCGACCATAGCATTGACATCTTTGCATTCATAAAATTCGTGCAACCAATCAATATTTTTAATTTTATCAATAATAGTTTTGTAATCAGCCTTAAAGTAATTATAATCTATACGAAGTTTGGGACGAAGGAAGGAAATATGACCGTATTCTATACTTATTAACAAATCAGGATGGTATGAATCCAATTTACTAAGTATTTCAGGAGGTTTTGTAACTATAATGTTTGTTAAATTACTTAGAACTAAGTCCAAGAGTCTACCGTCACAGTTACTTATACAGTTACAGTTACTTATACAGTTATATTGGTATAAATCATTAATAGACATAAAGTCAACTAATGAGTGTCCGAGTGCATTGCTATAATTATATGGTGTCATGTATCAACATTTTTCACTAGCAGACCACTCAATAAAACCCATATTAAAGTCACCTATAACAACTAAGTCATCAACGTGGTTAGCAACATTATCCACGCTATCTAAAAATTTATTTAGGTTTTCTAGTTTAACTGGTGGTGGCAAATAGACTACACAAAGTCCAATACTTTTTGTGACATGGTTGTTATTGAATTTTAGCACTACCCACATATTTTCTTCATTGGTTTCCCAATTTACAATACGAGAGGATATCGTGAAATGGCAATGAGAACACCTACACCGTCCTTTTTAGATGCGTGTAGACATAAACGATTTTTTCTATAAACTACATAACGGGAATCAAATAGTTCATTGTCAAAGATACTAGGCTTAAGCCAAGTCTCAGTAAATATGATAATTTTATAATTTGAAATCAAGATATTCTTAAGCACATCGGAGGTCTTAGTTCTCAAACCTCGCACATTTTGATAGTAGATTTCTAACACTGTAAAAATTTGGTGGCCATATCATTCACATATTTTTTAAATTTAAATTATGAGCTTAAGACTATCTTCATTTTTTATTATTATTGCTTGACTAAATTCATCTTTCCGTACGTAAATTTTTCCATTCCTAATCCATATGAAGCGATATTTCATTTCTTTGGATTTTATGCGCGCAGCGGCATGAAGGGATTTATTTCCTGGAGTTAAATGTTCTGAAACATATATTGGGACTCTAGATCCTCCAATTCCTAGATGGTGAGAGTTTAGTTTATCATCAGGATTTTTCTTGTTAAATAAAGCAACAGCCGCTAGGAGAGCATCTCTGTGTTTCATGGTACGAAGCTTAACAATGACAGAACGTGGCTTGTTGGTATTTTTATTCAGCTTAGCTACTCGAGTAACATATTGGATGTCATCAACTGACAGCGAATTTTTAACAGCTTGTCCTAACTGCACGATAGTGTTTGCCAAATTTTCCGCTTTATGTTCGGGAATACCATTTAATTCGATGTTGCATTCTCTCATATGTGATTCTACGATGTTTAACCGGGTTTTAAGGTTCTTGACTGATGCTTGAAGTTGAGTATTTTCTTTTTTTAAGTTGTTAATAATAGCGGATTTTTCTTCAATTACAGTTTTCATCTCTTCGAATTGCGCATTTATGAACGAGATAGATTCACAAAATCCCGCTATTTGTTCATTAATTGTATTTAGCTGTGCCTTAACAAGTTTTTGAATGGTTGTAGAAAGTTCTTGTTTAATAATATCACGAAGAGTATTTTCTGTCAAGAAGTTACTACCATCATTGCTTTTCATCGATGCTGGTCCATTTGATCAAAGTATCTGATAGGTATGTTTGCGCATTCGCAGTCATACTTCAATTTACAAATCATGCAACTAAGAAATTCTTTTTTGGGAAAAGTATTTTGGCATCCGGCGCAAATTTTAGAATTCATAGCAGACGCCATTACTGTTACAATTTAATAACTTAAATTTGAAATTTGTGAAAATGACAAAAAACTTTCCGGCGTTGGAAATCGATCGCACGTCGCTAGATTTTGGACGTCGTTATACCATCTGCGCCACGGTGATGTTGGTACACTTAGCGAAAATATCAATCTATTTAGTGTACAGCAACAAATTATTAACAGTCTGTCGGTAGTACAGAAACAAAAGTTATCAATAGATCGTGAGTAATCACAAATTATTGTGTTTCGAAAAGGCTCACTGGATTAACTTTTAAAGTTATTTTTTTAATTAGATACACTGATAATACACTATTAGCTTGTATTACACAATATAAAATATATATTACACTTTGAAATATTTGGTAAAGTTAACATTCGAAGTTACTGCGTTAACACCAGATCATCTTCAGAATTACGTTAGAACCTTGCAGGATAAAAACGACACAGAATTATTGTAGATTAATAAATGTTTCTGTATTATTTTGGTAGCTATTTCGAACTTTTAGAATTAAAAAATAAATTTTTAACACAGATATGTTGCACGACACGTTTGACACGTTTGACGTTCGTCTTAACACCTTCAAAGGTTTACGTTCTGACAGCCAACTGGCTGGCTCACGCATGCTACTACATGATGGTGCAAGCCAGTTGTGTTACTATATTCTATGGCGCACACGCAACCAACAACCCAACAACTGCCGTGTTTGCTTACAGTTGTTACGTGACAAAGTTTCATTTTTGCATGGTCCACGGGCCGAAGGCGTGCGCATTGCTTTCTATTTTTATTCTACACTAATTATTTAAATTTCAAATGACTAAATATTTTTAAAATAAAAAACCTTACTTTCATCTGTAAGTAGTCAGGGGTTCACCATTGTCTGGGAAATTTAATAAGTGCGTGGGGATATAAGTTTGAGAAAGCTAGAAGCAGATACGTACTATTAATAGCTTTTATCCATACCTGTGCACCTCTATTTTGAAGGATGATTTCCTTTATGAGATTAGGTCAGATTGTCACGATATTTCGTGTCTTCCTGGATACGAAACCCGTCCTTCACAAATTACATCTTGTAATTTGAACTAAACGCAAGCTACTACGTAAGTACTGATTAACCAGTAATGTAATAAAGTTCCGGCTACACACAGAGCCTTGCATGCGCAAAAAGTTCATACAAAAAATTTGCGCAAACAACATGGTGCTCTGCATAACATACACACTATAGCGTCTTGCCTGCGAAAACAGTTTGTATAAAGTTTTCACAACGAACATGTGTGGCATCCACACGCCCTCTTGATGTACATGTCTGCTTGTGCAACTTTAGTTTGAGTAAGTTAAGCATTTGTGCAAGCCATTTGCACCGTATATCGTTTTGCCGGCTTAACCTATATGCTTGCTTGTGCAGCTAAGGATTTGTGCAAGTAAAATTTAGCGTGTAGCCGGGCCTTAGTGGCACTCTTCAATGTCAGTAAAAAGTCAAATAGGAAGGGAAGTTAAAAACTATTGTTGTTTTGACAATTACAGTGTTCTAAGTCACCACGTAGTGGCGGCGTAAGAGAATCTATCAGCACATTTTACCCTTGTATATCGTAAATAGTGGCTAATAGAAATGTCAGAAAATCTTATAGCTTCCGCTAGATGGCGGTATACCATCGCATTCATTCGTGATGAAAACAGTAATACACTGCTGGGTTCCTGGTGTCTGGCGGCAAAAATAGGTTAAAGGTTACCTAGATAAATTTCCAGGTCAAAAAGAAGTCCTGCCTCAACGGCTTGCCACGCTCACTTGAACACTGTTCACAGGCCTCAGAGCGTCTACGTCGGACGCCTCAGCTTCTCTACAAGAGCAGAAGTGGAGAAGCGCGCTCGTAAGTGAGTTTCTCCATTAGGCTTAAAAAAAATAAAAGTATGTTATTGTAAATAGTCACGCAGCACTCTTTGTGTGGCCACACCTTTATTTAATAAACCGATTGTCATATCAAGCGTGTCACTTACGAATTCAGGAAATTGAATATCACATTCGTATTTGTTTTTTTTTCAATTGGAAAGGTTGTACTCGTACCTATGTATTTGCAATTTGAGTCGCTACTAGTTCAGATTGTTTTAAATGGGTCAATTATATACAGGAAATCTTCATTGCTAGCAGAAGCTTCTATTATTTTAGAGAATACTATGAATATTTAGATATAATATTGTGTATGATTCCAAAAATAACTAAAATAAATCTGGAAGTGTATTTATGGCATTCGATCATATAAAGTAAACTCATCGAGTCTAGCCACAACTTGTACATTGTAGAGCGTTGCCTCTGTCATCGACACCTCTATTCAAGATTGTATGTTTGTGTGTCTGGTAGTACGGTGTGAGAACAAATAATCAATCTCGGAGATTTCTCAGCGGGCACTGGCCAAGATGGAGGCGAACGCTTGAACTGTTCGTTAATGCTTTTTTCATAACCAAAAAAACGATAATTAATTAGTAAAATGTACTCTCTACCATGATCTAAACATATTATGCATTTTCATGTGTACATTTTTTTTAAATTTATTTTATGTACACACATCAAGATACAGAAGCAGTCTTATAGTAATTTCGCACAAAGGTTCTACTTATTCCATAATTAGCTGAAATATCTTCCAGTAGACCCACAAAGGAAATTATATTGAAATTGCAAACTTAGTGCATACATTAGTACTACTAAAAAATAAATAATATACAAAATGTTACGTAAATTATATAAAATAAAACAATAAATAAAAATAAAATAAATCAATACATAATAATAATAATAATAAATACGATAGTTACATATGATATATATAAACTAAAACTAATATAATAGAATAATATATATTAATTAATAGCATGCAAAGTAGTTATCTGTAAGACGTTTCTTGAAAACCAGTAAAGTTTCGGAATTTCTTATATTTGACGGTAGCGAGTTCCATAACCTTACCTTATATTATGTTCAGGTTTCATGTACCTATAAATTATATACCGTTTTATAATGGAATATCTGCAAGGTAAAATTTAATTTAATTTAATTTTTTTTTAATTGTATATTGTATATTTTTGGCTATTATGTAAAGGCTTGTAGGAAATGCTGTGAGCACTAAGCATGCGGTGTTTACCTGTTATTGAATGTGCACTTAGTTTATATCACTGTCTTAGAATTAAGCAAATGTATTAGTGTAACGTTTGCTGGTGAACCAAATAAATAAATAAAAAAGGTTTATTTATTTGGTTCACCAACAAACCTTTCAGATATTCCATTATAATATAACATAGTTAAAAATTACAACAACGTTACGTAAAGGTTAAAACTGGACTTTTATTGGTATTATGATATTTTACAAAGTACGTGATTGTTTTAAAATTCCTAATAGATTTATACTGAACTGAGTTTTTTTATTCGACGGAGGCTATTGTCTGCAACCAACAAATACTATTAAGCCCAACATTTTACTTCTAAAGCTCGTACAATTTATACTTACGTTCGGGAATTATGTTATAGTTTTGATTTGAGTGGTTTAATTCTTATATTGAGAATCGTTGTCAGACCGTAGTATTCAATGGTTATACGTCAGCAACTGTGCAAATCCTTTCAGGAATACCGCAGGGATTACTATTAGGTCCATTGATTTTTGCGACTTTTATAAGCGATATAGGTTCCTGTTTCACTCTGTTCCAAAATAATCCTTTATTCTGATGACATGAAAATCTTATATCCCATCACAAATACTTCTAACTGCCCTTGTACGCAGCGTGATCCTAATGAACTTGAACGATGTTGTTCAAGCAACAAACTTGGATGTGTGTGAGGATAAAACACTTCAGTTTTATCCTTATTTTTATCCGTAAACCCAATCCCATTGTTTTTCACTACAAATTACAAGATATTAGTATAGGTAGATTACAATCAGTAAAGGCTCTTGGTGTATTTTTCGATTCTAAATTACTCAAATTCACATTTTCACAATATGAACAAAAAAGCCAATACAGCACTTGGATTCGTTTAGAGATTTTCCAGCGATTTTCATGATATTAAAACATATATAAGATACTTTATTGCGTTCTTGTTCGCAGCCATTTATAGTACGCCTTTCAAGTGTAGAACCCAAATTATAACATTTATAAAGATAGGATTGAGCACGCACAAAAGCGTTTCCTACGTTTCCTACAATTGAAGACAAAATTTTATACTGATAACTACATTTCATAATTTGCCTCTGTACGAACATAGGTGCATAGCAGATATGATTTATCTTTTTTAATTGGGAAATGGTAATTTTGAATATCCGGAGCTACTGATTAAGTTAGGACAAGAGCTCGAGGTAAAGAAGAAAATCGAAAAAAAAATTCCTTAGTGCAAACGAAAATTGAACTTGGTTTGATTGTAATCAGCAACCGAGCTATCAGGACTTATACAAAATATAAATTAAAAATAACAGCCTAACGCTTATATACAGTTGTAGCACGAAAGGGGTCCGCGCGACCGGGGAAGGACCACGGTCTCACGGAATAGCAGCTTAAAATAGTAGATTGATGTTGCTGTATTTGTATGGTGAGTGCAGAGAACCGGAGACCCCTTTTACTGGAAACGAGGCATTTCATCTTAGTCCTCACGGGTGACTACACATCTGCATTTTGATTCGTAATCGAGGATAGGCCTATGG